TACGTAAGAAATGTACAAAAATATTAATAGATTTATTGACTTTATATCATGGTACAAGGCGGCAGCAGCAACGATACACGAAAATGATTAAGGGGTCTAAAGAGGGTCTTTAGAATTTTGAAAAAATCTAATTTCGAAAAGGCAGGCTATTTTGGATGAAAATGTGCACTATGAAGAAGATGAAGGCATAATGTATGGTGCAGGCATCGCTGATTAGACGTAAGTACGATTTTTTCACGATTTTTCGTTACAGAAAACTTTAAACGCGTTTTTCTCGGAATGATGTTTTTGGACGGCTTGTTGATAAAATCTCCGAAACTATTCAACCGAACCTTACCAAAATTTAACCACATGTTCTTGATGACTATAGCTATAGCGCATATCATACGATTTCTGAAATTTTGACTTTAACTATCTATTTTTGGCAAAGAACGACGGAAAAAACGTGATTTTTCATACTTTTTCGAAAAATGGCTGCCATTTTGTCATTTAAAAAAAAAAATCGTATGATATGCGCTATAGCCATTTACTTACTGAATCTAAAACTATTTTTTTTTTCAGATCATCCATTCCAGATATTTCATCAACAGCGCATACTCATCTTTTTTTTTGGACCAGTCTTCTCCCTCATTTTTATGTATAAAAACTGATTAAAATAAATATAAAAAAAATTTTCTTGTGTAATCAAATAGTGTATTTTTTAGGCCTAACACTTTTTATGTCCATATTTATGACGTATACCGGTCAAAAAAATTCGTGAAAATAGCCTTATCTTTGCCCGTCTAAAGAGGGTAGACCCCTTAATTACTTCTTTCACTTAAATGCATTTTGCTGTTCGAGCGTGTAGTGTAATGAAAATGTGGTCACTGTGCAAAACGCCATGGGGATAGAAAATGTCGTAGACACAACAACAGAAGACCAATTTGCCATTTTAAGAGGGGGTGGCAGGTACAGAGGCAGAATGAAACCATATATGGTGGATGTGAAAGTGAACGGTGTCGCAGTTAGCATGGAGATATTCTCTGGTTCTTAACGTTCAATTCTTCCAAAATCGTCGAAGATTTCCCATACTTCATTAGCTACCACTTCATCAACACATACTGGCTAGTAAGAGATTAAACACGAAAATTGTGATGGATATATCTCTCAAGATTGTAAATTCCATAAAGGGAAAATCCCTTCAAAAGGCGGTTCTTTAAACAGCAATTAAAACGTAAAACGTTGCTCGAGTCGAAGCAAGTTTTTGCAAACATTTCGAGAACTATTGGACGAAATAATAAAATTTCTTGATGAAAGAGGTGATGATTATCTGCAATTACGTAATTTAGACTGGCAATATGATTTATCTTTTTTGGCAGATTTTACTGGAACACTGAGTACATTAAATCTGAATCTACAAAGCAAGAATAAAACAATAACAGAAATGATGAGTTCTATTGCAGCATTTCAAAGTCAAACAGCGTCTATGATAGTTGACATACAGAACAATAAATTTTAGCAATTTATAAACATCAACGATCATATGGAAAAACATCCTACCTACAATTTCACTGAGAAGTACACGAGAGAAATTAGGGCAGCAGACTTCGGAATTAGCTTTAGCGATTTCAGAAAAGTTGAGAAGTTAGTTCAATTCATTAATTATCCGTTTATGATGCCATTGATCATAGTGATATGATATCACTTATCATATCATTAATAACTTATTAATTAATCATGGTCTTTATTTAATTAAAATAATAAAAGTTAAGGAAGTTTATAAAACTTTTTTCTTTTTTTCAACAGTTATTTGGAACGCCAGGTGTTACCTTCGTGTGGGCGAAGAATACCATCCAGATTGCGTTGTACTGACAGTAAAGCACGATGGAGGCAGCTTAATGACCTGGGGCTGCATGGCTGCTCAAGGAGTTGACGAAATATTTGTTTCTGAAGGTCGTATGAACAGCGAAAAGTACATAAAAGTGCTTGAAACTACGCTTATGCCTTCGCTAACGTGTATTTTCGACGATACCAGCTTAGACGGAATCATATTCCAGCAAGATAATGCACCTTGTCATAAGTCAGCGACTACGATGCTTTGGTTTACTGAAAACAAAACAACAACATGAGGAACTGAGAATGGCTGGCAAGGACTGGCTTATGGGTTTTATGAAAAGAAATAAATTATCTGTCCGTAAAGCAGAAGGTACGAGCTTGTTTTCATTTCATCACATCGAAAACGGCATTAAAAATGCGTTAGTACGAGAATGGCATGGCATTACATAGCTGCTCAAAAAACGGGTGGAGAAGATTTTCTTAGAATGGCAAAACATTTCGCCACTTTAACTAAACCTTCAAAGGATGACTACTGTACGCAGAATGCCATTACAATGCTGTCATTACCACCGCACGGATCTCATCTAGAATTAGTGCAGTAATTAAATCCAAAGGAGGACCAACTAGATTTTAAGTTTTTTTTTATTCTTTTTTTGTAATATATGTATCTAATACTTTTGTCCATCAAAAAAATCGTCTCAAAGACACCTTCAACTTCAGTAGACACCTCCAACAATACTCTTCAGCCTCAGTTGCAGGCTTGTAATACTCCAGGGCCCAGTGCAGTGACACCTGATCGAGAAGATTCAATCATACTTATACTTGCACTCCATACAAAGAATATTTGATTTAAAAAGAAGAACAAAGAGCAACAAGAGAAAAGAAGAAAGAATCCAAAGGGTCTAAAAATAATCAAGGAGTAAATCCTTGATTATTTTTAGTAAGAGAGCGAAAAAAAGATCGGCGAAGGAAACTGTCAAAAAACGGGTGGATTAACGAAGACCTTTTCTTAGAATGGCTAAAACATTTCGCCACTTTAACTAAACCTTCAAAGGATGACCCCATATAGTGTTGGCAACTTGCCGATTTTGTGGATAGATAAACTTTACATTTTGTTTTGTTTTGTTAACGTAGTCAACTATATTTTTTCTTATTGTTTGGACTTCTAAAAAAATATATTGATTAGTGGTTTAGTTTTGTTTTTATCCCAATTTAAAAATGGAAGAACAGGACGTGCACTTCTGACATATTTTATTGTATTACTTCCGAAAAGGCAAGAATGCATCGCAAGCACGAAAAATGAAGATATGTCCATTGCAACAGATAATGGATGGTTTCACTCTATAACTTTTGTCCTGAACATGAAGAAATATTGGTAACACAAGTTAAAGACCTAGCCAACAGGGTAATGCCTTTAAACAAACAAGAAATTTTAGATCTTGCTTTTCAACTGGCATAAAATTAAGGATACCTGACCAATTCAATAACGAGAAAAATTTCTACTATTCGTTCATGAAAAGACATGGTGACTTATCGTTGCGAACTGTTGAATCAACGAGTTTAATGAGAGCAGTAGGATTTACAGACCTCAGGTTGAGCGTTTCTTTGAAGATTTAAAGGCTGATGCAAAAGTTTAAATTCTCTCCCTATAAAATATGGAATTATGATGACTGGCAACAGCACTGTGCAGAAGCATGCTGAAGTAATAGCGACTAAAAAACAAAAACAAGTTGGAACGCTTACGTCAGCAGAACGTGGAAAGAATGTAACAGTGCTTTTTGTAATAAGTGTTGGAGATCAGTTTCAGATCGTACCACCTTACTTCGTATTTACATGGACCCGAATGAATTAAAGACTTATGATTACGATATCACGACGTAAACGGACTTCAGATCGAAGTCACTGCTCCATTACCGATCTTGAAAACGCAAGACAACGTGTGAATAATGGCGAATCAATAAGGAGCGTCGCCCATTCACTAGAAGTGAATTAAGCCACTCTTTGTAAGACACTTAAGAGTTACGCCAGCTGCGTCTCTTGAGAGATATGACATCTACTATTTTTTCACCGCAGATGGAGCAAGAATTGCGTGATTATAGAAAACAATTGATGGTATGTTTTATGCTAACTCCAACTCCAAAAGGACTTAGGGAACTAACATTTTGCAGAAGATACAAAATATCGCATTATTTTAATGCAGAGGAAAAATTGCTGGTAAAGAGGAGGTTTTTGAGAGATGAGGGGATATATGAGGTTTACTACGTAAAAGATATGCCGATTTGTCTTTAAAGCAAACTTCATCAACTAGTATCTCTCGAGCCATAGGCTTTAACAAGCTTCAATGCGACCGTTTCTTTAAAAATCTGTCTGACGCAAGCCTAGAATTTCCCACCCAATGCTATATTTAATATGGACGAAACAGGGACATCTACAGTTCCTAATAAACTGCCGAAAGTAATATCCACCAATGTAAAACGTTGTGTGACTAAAATTTCAAGCGCTGAAAGAGGACCCAACGTATTTGTAGTGTGTGCAATGAATGCTAGTGGATACTATCTTCTACCTTTATATTCACTCGAAAAAGAATGAAACCTGAACTTTTGGATGGCACTCCAAAAAGCGCTTCCCTTTTGTCACCATTCTTAACACCTAGCTCGTCAGAATAAGAAGAGTACAATACTTTTATTGTACTCTATATATTAAAACAAGAAACACTGTGGAATATGTTTTGGTGTATGGAAACGGAGATTTATGTCTACATATAGAGATGGACCATTGAGGGCGCTTGTGACAACACACCCATGGATACCATCTTAAAGGGTCTCATCCGGAAGAAAGTGGATGATACCACCAAACAACGGATCATAGCAGTGCTCTCAAGAATTAAGAGAACTGGAAAAAACACTTAAATAATCTATAGTCTGAAATTTTAACAGACCATTAGGATGCTATTTAATCCTACATTTACATCTGCATCTTCTAGTACTTAATTGCTTCAAGCACTAGTATGACATATACATTTCAGCGCAGAATAGCCAAGTACTGTCCGGGTAGCGTGTATTCTAACTTAAGCTACTAGGTTCCCTCTCCCCTAAACAACCTGCTACCAAATAATCCGTGCAAAGGTGGTGTCGCTAGTGTAATAAATAAAAAACATTGTACATATCATTTCTTCTGTACTTTCATGACAGTGTGCAATTTCCTTTGGTGTGCAACTAACGAAGTCGGTTGTGCGTACGCTGCGTTATACACTACACAAGCATTCGGCCTCTCCCCTGTGTACTAAAAGTACTAAACTATTAAAATACTGATGCACACCATCAGTATTTTAATATTTTAGTATCATCTTTAGTATTTTATTAGTTTGTAATCTTTTTAAATTATTGTCAATTTTTATGTTTACTTTGTCAGTAGTAGTTTAGAACTTAACGTCCTATCGTCGTTATCGATCTCTTATTGTATTATTTTACTGGTAAAGGCTATAACGGAATAGCAGAGAGAGTGGACTCACTGTCCCCTCAGAGTTATAGACCGTTTTATCTGCTTCATTACTTTTAAATTTTATTATTGTATGGGCAGCAATTGTATTAGTTTTTGTTTGATACAAATAAAGATGATTATTATTCTTATCATTATTATTTCTTCTGTACTTTCATGACAGAGTGCAACTTCCTTTGGTGTGTAACCAATGGAGTCCGTTGGGCGAATGCTGCGTTACACACTACACACACATACGGCCTCTCCCCTGTGTGTGTGCGCACATGATGTATTAACACCTTTTTGTCCTGTAACAGAATATTTTCTGCAAAATAACAGTAATATTGTCCATAGTAGGGGCAGTACTGATACTCCCCCTACTATGGACTAGGCAGTATATATTGTATTAAAAGTTAATTACAGAAATAAAAAGTTAAGAATAAAGTAAAATAACAATAAAGAAATTAGTATGTCTGCAGAAGTGTTTTTAGTCTTTGTTTTTCCCACGCAACCTTAGAATCACGAAATTATAAGGTGTTCCTTTATATTTCGTGATTTTTGTCGAATAACTTAAAGTGTATACTAGAAACTTATAATATTACATAGCATTTTTTATATGAGACTTTAAAGTCAACACTATAGAGTGTATTCTCCAATGTTTGAAAGTTTTGAGCTAATATACTTGCTATATGGTAGATTTTACTAACCCGAAATGCTCTACCGCAATAAGAACAAATTTTATCCTTGGGTGCTTTTATGCCTTCATGTACAGTTGTAATATGACTTTTTATCAGACTCTTGCGGGAAAATCGCTGAAATGAAGCATTTTATTTATTTATTACATCATTACATAATATAAAACAAAGTCGCTGTCGCTGTCCCTATGTGTGCTTAAATCTTAAAAACTCCGCAACGGATTTTTTTAATAGATAGAGTGATTCAAGAGGAAGGTCTCAATACAATACATGTACACCCGTGCGAAGCCGGGTCCGGAATAGAGTAATTAATGTAAAAATACGGTCTAATTGCTGAAGCTATCTCTACCAGACAATCTTTGGCAGAGAATATAAGAGAAAAAGTAGATGGCGCATGAGTAAAGTAGTAATATTGGTAGAATAATATTCCTAATTTTCAGTCTTGATTTCGGTTAACAAATTTAACGGAAATAAAGTTTAAATTATACTTTCATATTTCAGCCGAAAAGCAGGTAAACCTCAATTTAGACCAGTAGACTCACAGAGATTATTATATTAGAGTGAGAGACAACCTAGTTGACATTACATTGAAAGAGGAAGGTCTAGAAAAAGAGCTGTCAGAAGATCTAGACAATGATATCTTAATGGCATTGAACGAGGTAGTAGTGGAAAAAACAATATGGCGAATATATACACGATGAAATTGTTATAACTATTAAAAATGTTTTAATTAATGGGCTCCCAAGAGAACATAAAGAAAGACTGTAGAAGACCGTATTAATTCCAATAATTGTAAGTTCCTGAATGCCCCTAAACTTAATATCGAGACAGTACTCTACAACAACGCAACTTGAATATTCTACATTCGACCGGGAACTTCAAGCTATCTACCTAGCAGTAACACACTTCAGAATACTAGAGGGAAAAATACTAGAGGGAAGAGAAAACATCCAACCACAAGCCACTCACATACGCACTCCAGAAAGTATCATCGAATGAAACGACGCGCCGTACAAGAAAGTTATTTAGGTGTTCGAGCCTATGCTTAAACCATATTGAGATTATACTTCCTTTATTCGTTAACTTAACATTTCTACGTCAGTCCAAGTCAGGTCAGTCATGATTCTGTCAGTTCAATCATGATATATGAAAAATTATTCACCGTCCAACTACCACACAGAGAAGCTACGTGGTACATCAATTGACCGTGAGAAACCTGCGTATATTATCGTCTGAAGACAACGCCGTTCGGTAGTGTCGTCAAACCAACAATACGATTCGCTCGAGGGAAAATTTGTGTTTGCTAACGCCGTTCGGTAACGTTTTTTTTCCGTCGTCAAGTCACCGGATGATAGGGGCGACTGCAGAGAATATAAAAACTAATTGACCGATCGAATTATTCGGCGTAAAAACGTATTTGCAACACGAAGTAGTATGAAAATACATAAACCGAATGATAAAAACAAACCGATCGACCCGTGCAAAGATGTCAAGGCCCGAATAAAAATCAAGGACCACCAAGGTTGTCTGGTGTAATTTAGAAAAGGCCTTCGATGACAATGACCTTACACGGAAGGTAGCTAAGGGATTTGGTCACAACAACTGTGGATCAGTTAAAGAGTATGTAAATTGCATTATGCAACATCAACAGTCGATAATGCCTCTTACTATACCATATGTTTTGACGACCTCGGTGGTCTAGCGGTATAGCACACCGCTTTACGACCGATGGTCGCGGGTTCGATTCCTCGCACAGCACAAACATTTGTATTCATGAGTATAATTGTTTGTATAGGTCTGGGTGTTTTCTATGTATATTATGTATATATTTACAAAAAAAATCTATGTATATGTATCAGTTATCTAGTACCCATAACACAAGCTTTAGCTATCTTAACTTGGGTCTAGATGGCGCTGTGTGAATTTTCCTGAGATTATTATTATAATTATTGATGGTAACGATAGGTAGCACAATTAAATATTATTAGTTACCTTTTACCTTTCTTTTACTACGTAGGTGGCAACAATACGCCCCATCTGATTGTAACAGTTACCGTAGCCTATAGACTGAAACATGAAACACCAGAGGTGTCACGTTCACGTTGCCGACCCTTAAGAAACCTTAATATACTCGTCTTGAAAAAAAACCTTATGCTAGTCTCTCGAAAAAAACTCGGCAGGTAGTTGCTCTTACCTTGTCACAAAGATCGCATTCGTACGGTAAAGTATCAAGATGTTTGGCGGCGATATGTATAGTTTGATAAAACTTATTGTAAAATCTCATATCACAGTGAGGACACGGGTACCTGTTAACAGACAATTATATAATAAAACATCCAATCCCTTGTTTCTTTCCCCCTACTCACCAATTTTCATGAAAATCGATGGAGGTTCAAGGAAACCCGAGGTGAAAACCTTCATTGACTGTACTACAACTTTAATGTCATTCAAAGTAAAAAATTTGACCTTAGTACTAGTTGACTTTCTTGCCAGTTCTTTTCAACTGAAGTAGCTAGCCGAAATGGACGGTAGGGATAATGCTAAAAAAAATTAAGATGTGCATATTTTATGACTTGACTTAAACTACCAAATAGCAGGAATTACTAAAGTGTAAGACAAAATGGGAGTCGTGTCGTATCAACATTTAAAGAGAATGATGGAAGATGGCAGAAAGTGGCAAGAGCTCCATCGACAAGAGCACAGCTCTAAAATTATGAATGAATGAAAACAAAACTCACTTGAGAATATCAGGATGTCGGTGTTTTTTAGTGTTCTGTAGATGGTATTTAAGGGATAGGTCTGTTTTGAAATATTTATTGCATTCAACACAGTATCTCTGCTCCTTAGATAATTTTCGATGCGCGTTATACATATGTTTCTTTACATCTGCAAATGTTTTATCACACTTTGTACATTTTTGCCTTTTTCTTTTCTTCGGTTGATGTATTCTGAAAATATACCATTACATTAGCATAATTCAAGGTGGCACACAAGGTGACAAATACGAAAGTAGAGCCGGTGTCGGAGAGCTTGAAGAGTAATCGATAATCGTCTGTCGTGGTATGAGCATTTAATGCGTAGGAATGAAGATAATATTTTAAAGAATGTGTTACATAAGAATGTGGACTGTTATAAGGGCAGACGAAGGCCGAAAAAGAGATGGATAAACTGTGTGAAAAATAATATGGATAATGAGTAAGTAACGAGATGACTGCGAACAGGGAGGAATGGGAGAGAAAAATATATTACGCCGACCCCAAATAAATGGGATAAGGCAGAAGCAGATGATGATGATAGACGGTGGCAAAAAGCAAAAAACCTCATATTATTGCAGAATATATATGCTCTAGATATGGTGAATATTATGAGAAATATGAAATCCCTAGACCAAATTTACGATGATACCTTAAAGAAGATTCTTCGTCCAGATATGTAACCTCACAAATTTTCACAGACAAAAAAATCGTCATGGTTTAACTTTAAAGTTAAACATCCCAGATAAAGAAAAAGTTAAGTTGACCATCAGGTGGGCTACCAAATTGTTTGCCATTTCTATGATGTAAAAACCCCCAAGACATGGCATGGCAATGGAAATCTCGAGATTTTACTCTTGACAAATATATTTAATAATGTAAACATGTTCATTTGTGTGTAACAAACTTACTTCAAATGGTTAATAAAGCTTGCTCTAAGTCTGTAGGTACGTCCACAGATATCACATTGGTGAACTGTCTGCTGTTTTCGAGAACATTTTAATCCAACAACTTGGTCGTTTTCCAATCCAACGTCGTTAAAAGTGCCGTTTGATCTAACGTCATCTTGCTTGGAGCCAAGATTATTTCCATATTCTAATCTAATGTTATTACCACAGCCTGATCTAACTTCGACGCTTTTTTGTTCAACGTTAAAAATCCCGTTTGATTTAAAGCCATCGCTACATTTTGCCTCAACATCATTGTTTGGAGCAATATTATTAGTTCTATTTAAACCAATGTTTATATAACAATTTGCTCCAACTGCATCACCATAGTTTGATTGAACATTGTCATCATAGTTTGATCCATCTTTATCACTATTATTGAATGCATTTACAGTTTCATTTACTTTTATTTCATTTTTTATCTCTTTGAGATTTTTAAAATTAAATTTAATATCATTTGCCTCATTATCACAATAGTAATATTCAAAATCAAAAGAGCTCCTCTTGGATACACATAAATTTGATAAACTCTTAACATTTTGTCCAATCTAAAAAAAAATCAGTTCACTAATTATATTACAGGTAATAAATAGACATTAACTTGTTTGCATCAACTTGCTAATTATTCAACAGTGTTAAAATGACTAATTTTATTTGAAATCTTTCATTTTTTGACCACAAAACACAGAAATGGAACATTTTTCGAAGCAGGTTGCAGCATTACATTGAATTAAATGGTATTGTAAATTACTTGTAAATTACTACATATAATATGTCGGAATTTTTAATTAATACATACTATTAGCCCATTAGACTGAGGCTGAATGAGAATGACTGGAATTTACAAAGATTTTCTGTAAACCTTACCATATCTGGCCATTGTTTTAAGAGAATTTTTTGGGATTTCTTAACTTGCGTTTTGAATTTTTTTATAGTACATAATATTGCATGACATTCCCAACAAACTCTATCACCCAATCTCATCTGTAAAGAAACATAAATATTAACATACTAGTTGTTTCCCAAGAGACAAATATAACCTAACAAAAATAAAGGAAAAAACAAAATTTAAAAATGTTGAAACCACTGTTAAATCTATGTGGCCACATGATTAGGGAAAAATACCTAAATGAACAAAAGAAATCACAGAGTGGTACCCAAGAGGACACAAGAAGCAGAGGCAGACAGATAAAAAGATGGGAAGATGACATTAGGAAGGTAGCAGGTTGGACTCAGAGAGCATGGGACCGAATGCTATGGAAAAACTTGGAGGAGGCCTATGTCACATCATGAAAGACTGTTGCCATTAAGATAGGGGAAAATTTAATAAATATAAACTGACACGACCGCAGTTACTGCCTAAACACATAACACATGTAAAGTTGCCAGTAGATAAAGGCCTTTATTATTATTAGTTGTTTTCCACTAGTTCGTCCGGATGAAATAAAAGATAGCCTATGTCCATCCTTATTTTTTATATATTTACAGCAAATTTCATTACAATCCTTTCAGTTGTTTGGCCATGAAAAGGCAAAAAAAAGGACATTTAGCATTTATATTATCAGTATGGATTGTTTAAACATTTAACCTTTTTTAAAAATAATTTAAATAGCAAACGGAATGATGTTAGCATGTGATGGTAAGTAGTAACCGTCACCTATAAACATGAACAGCAACACAGATATGTAACACCTGCGATATTCACTCATGTGTTGCTATTCCAGAGGCCTAAGATGTCATGCCCCTTACCCTGTAATTTCACCACTGAAGCCATACAAATGAAACATACCTTATGAAGCAAGTAAATTAGTGACTAAAAAAGGCAAGACTATCCATAATGACAATTATTTATTTCAAACATTATAATCCTATAACACTATAAGACAATTCGTCACTAACACCAATCATAACAAATGTTTTACATCAACCATGGATAGAGTCATAAAATAAAATATAAATTCATAATTTGTAGCCTTATTTAATATTTCAATAACAAGTTGTATATAAAATGTTACATATCAACCATGGATGGAGCCATAAAATTAAATAAAAAGTGATAATTTGTAGTTTTATTTGGTACTTACTTCAGTCACAAGTTGTATATAAAATGTTTTATATCAACCAGCAGCTTGTGTCAGTTTCTTTTTTTTAATTTAATATTAGAAAAGCGGTTATAGTACACAAGGCAATATTAGTGATGTGGCTACCTGTATTTGCAATGTTTAGAACAGAATAGAAAATTTTTTATTAAAAAAATAAAAAATTGAACTTTTTTAATACTCATACTTATTTTTTTAATCTACCATTCATGTGGAAAGCTGTCTCACAAGAATAATGAGAAAAGAACTTGTGCATAAATAATTGTTGTAACTTTACATTTTTAAGTTGAAATATGTGAAAAACTACCAATTAGCTCTTGTTCCAGTCAAAATATTAAAAACAGTATACAGATTCGAACAGACCAGTCCCTTTTTTCTCTTTTTCTGTGCCTATCCTGCAATCAGTTGGAGACTATGAACAGATGTGGTATAGGTACTATGTCGCGGGTAGAGAGTGATTCCCAGCAGAATCATTGTCTCTTTTTGTGATCCTGATTAATAATCGGGTTCCTGTAGCCTACTCATGAACCTCAGATATTTTTGCAAACCATGTCGCATTTATAAGCTGTTTCAGGATGTTATTTTGAGCCCTTTGTATTATGCTTATGTTTGAACTTGCAGCAGAACCCCACAATTGGATAAGTCCAAGACCAGTTCCTAAACGCAGAACTTGTTCGAGTAATCTAATGTGTATATAATCAACAGTATTCTCAATTAATACTCTGCACCATTCCATTTGTTTATGTCTCTGTATAACTGTTTTTAGCTATTGTATAAGTCATTATCCATTAAGACTACTTATTTAGAGAGTGCATTCATCTGCAGTAATAGAAAGTAGTAAAAGAACTCTAAATCTACTTACTGTTTATAAGGTGCTTCATTAACAATTTCCTAATTAAAATAATGTATGTTGCATAAGAATTTTAGGAAGGCTAAGGTGGGAATGGCATAAAAAGGTTGAGAAAAATCTTATTACTAATATTATAAATGTGATATTTTGTGAGTATGGATGGATGTTTATTACTCTTTCACAATAAAACTACTGAACGGATTCTGATGAAAGTTTACAGTAATATAGCCATTTACATCAGAATAATATATAGGTTACAAAATTTCATGCAGATGAAACCGCGGGCACATATAGTACAGAAGATAACCTAAAAGACGACATCCAGATTGCATTTAGTTTCATCTGCAGATAAATAAATTTACGAAATAATCTTAAACGAATTCATATATAATTAGAATGTTAATAAAATACTTACACGAACACCTAAAAAACTCAATTCACTTTTAAACCGCTTTATATTTATAAGTCTCCTGTTGATACTGATACAAGTTATACATATTGTTGACATTTTTGTTTTATATATGTAACTTATTACAAATCAGCAGTTTATAATTATTATTATTTATTTATAGAGAATGTTTTCATTTATCCATTTGTTTAATTATTCTTCGATATAGTCCGTTCTTAGTCCCGGAAACAAATTTGACATTACCGATGTTGCCAGGTTCTTGCATTTTTAAAATAGGGTTGTGCACTATCGGAATTTAATATCAATTACCTATTTTTATAGGTTACTCAGAAATAATGTGGGCGTTTATTTAAAACACATTATTACAAAATATTGTTAGATATGATATAGGGATGCAAACGATACATTGATTTTATTCAAACAAACATCGTTTATACATATCGATATTTCACTTTTGATATTATGATATCAGGATGTTTTTTATAAATTGATACAACCTTAATAGAGATGCTAAACCGTACCACATAACAATTCGATATAAACATCGATGTTTTTTTTCTCATATTCGTCAATCTCCTTTTCAATGATGGAACAAAATTAAAAATTAGTTAACATGTTTTGGATGTCGGGATTTTTTCCGGTTTCTTGTAAATGTTCAGTAAATTATCAATAAAGACCAAGCGTTGAATATTATAAGCGGAACATTTCATTTTTATTCGGCACAAATGACTATTGAATCTTGCGTGACCAAAACGAACTTGTATAAGGATCGTGTAAAATTTCCGGTTTTTATAAACTCTAGATTTAGTGAACTAGGTTGAGGAATTAATATTTTTGTTAATGGAGTAAAACCCATTTTTAAAGAAAACTCTTGTAAACTATAGAAAGAATGTCGGAATAAGGTATGGCAACATCCTTGACAACGCCAATGTTATTCATTCTTGGTGATAGTTCTTGCCAGGAAATCTGCGTTTTCATTGCCGAAAACACCAATATGTGATGGAGTCCATAATAAAATAATATCATAACACTCCAATATAATAATTGCTTAATGCCATCTATGATATAATTGGTTTTATAACGTGTTTGTTACTGTGAAGAGCAGTTAAAACACTCATACTGTCTGTGACAATTAACCATTTTTTTGCGCAATTGCAATCCTATCATCCTTATCCTTACTAATATTATAAATACGAAAGTAAATGTCTGTCTGTCTTGCTTTCACGCCAAAACTACTAAACCGACTTAAATGAAATTTGAAACACAGATAGACTAGACCCTTAGAAAGAATTAGGTTACTATTTAATGTGAAAAAGGGTTGTAAGGGAGTTGAAAGGGACCATAGGTTACTATTTAATGTAAAAAAGGGTTCTAAGGGGGTTGAAAGAGTAGGTAGGTCTTGCAAGGTTGTATCGATGTATCGTCATTTTTAAGCCTAGAAAAGCTTGAAATTTATTTTTTAGCCTATTGAATAAATATAAATAAAGAAAATGGGTTTTAAGGCGTAAAAGAGGGGTGAAAGATTGTATGGAAGTGTCGTCATTATCAAAGTTAGATGATTGAAACTTATTTTTTAGGCTTTGTTGGAATTGTATGGAATTTTGTATCTAAAACTTCTTGCTAAAACTTGAAACTAAAACGATGAAACTTTTTTATTTGGCTTTTATTGGGTTAGGTAAATGAATATCTTTTACCGCGGACGAAGTCGCGGGTACAGCTAGCCTTTTATATAACAAAGTGCCTTTAAAATAGCCAAAGATTCTGTAGAAAAAATACAAAATTATTTTTGTATTCTAGTTCCATGACCGGTTCTGATCCTTGGTAAGTATAGAGCAAAGGATGTTCTCGATTTGTTTTTAGAACCGTCTGTAAATATGGATTGATGAGTCGAAAATGTAGATAACTTGTTATAAACTTGTTTGGTCTTTCACTCAGAGTCAATTATAATATTAATATTTGAAAATTTACTTTCATACGGTCCATGGTAACAATTCTAAAATCTATTGCTCTTGTGAATTTTGTATTCCTGATCAATATTGATTGAGTCAGAGAAATCATGAAATATATAGGGAACCGTTTTAGAATTAGAATGGGAAATAAAGAAGTAACATGTTTGAGCTTTTGTAAGAGTGGGTCTTCAGAAAAGGATAATAATTTTAGGATAAATCTTTGTTTTAAGTACCAGAATCGCAGGTTTAATGGTGGTATACAGCACTCTACTTGTAAAGAATTTATAGGGGTTGTTTTAATTGCGCCAGTTATGTATCTTAAATTATTATTCTGAAGTACTACTAGTTTATGAAGTTTGTTTTGTACAGCATTAACGAATCAAGGATTTGTACTTAAAAGGATCTTACACATTTATACAGAGCTTTGATAATATTAAATGCTTTAGAAGCTTTACCTAGTAAGTAGTTGTTCCAAGACAAATTGCTACAAAGAATAAAACCACTAAAATCTAAATTTCGCAGAAATAGATAGTTGTGAATTATTAAATAAGATTTTAATATTTTTGTTGGATTTATTAATGTTAGAATATATTACTATTTTGGATTTGTCAGGGCTTACATCTAAATTGAGGTATTTAAAGTAATCTGTTAATTTTAACAATGAGTTACTTATTATTTCTGTAACTTTATTAATGCCTGGGCCTTAAAGTATATAACAAGGTCATTTGCAAATTGAAGATTCCTGACATGTGGTCCTAAAATTCAATTAAGCTTGTATATGTAGAGGATAAACAGTAGTGGACTAAATATTCCACCTTGACACCTTTATAAGACGAGGTCCTATTAACTGCTTGTTAACTTTAACAAAAACTTCTAAATGGTAGCATTTAAAAAGTCATAGACCCAGTTTATAATTTTTCCAGGTATACCAATAGAAGCAAGTTCCAGAGTAAGAATGTGATGGTTGACATTATTGAATGCACCGATAATATAAAAAATACCCCAATCAAAACTTCATTGCATTTAAACGCTTTAAATATATCAATATGAAGATGAGCAACACTCTCAGAGGCAGATTTACCTCTACGAAAACTAAATTTCAGTAGATCTTTGTAGAATTCTAGTCTTTGTTTTAATAACTGCTCAAATATTTTTCCCATGCAGGAGGTCAGGGTCAGGGTCTATCTCTACTTCGTTTGCATTTTTATTTGGTTTTAAAACTGGAATAATACAGTCTTTTTTCCAATCAGGAGGAATAAGTGACTCTTTATAAAGTGCATTATAGATACATAAAACAATATATTTAAAGATATAAGATAGGGTTTTTAATAATATATATCATCCGATAATTCATGTAAACATCGATGTTTTTACGTCAATATTAAGTTTTTTTATATTCATGACCATGAATACAAGTCCTTCAGTCGCAGCACATTGTAGGCTGTAAAAATACCGATATTATTAAAAATATTTATCGATAATTATTTTTGATATTTTAAATCTCGGTTATTTTGTTCTGGATATCAAATATGATATTTTTTTTTATGATCGTATCTCATTGAAAAATGGATTTGCGTCGAGAACATTTTTAGTTTTGCCTGAAACCGGACGAATCGTACGATAGACTTCAAATGGCATTCATGGATGAAATCCCTACTAAGGCAACCGTGTATCGTTTAACTTTGGGGGATAAAGAAAGTGGTTGCCTTTGACGGCTGTTACGGAAGAAAACGTGCTAGCAGTAAAACAAATTATCCAAGACAATAGTTCAGCTTACAGTGCAGATTGGATCGGGAAGCCTTCACGAGATTCTACACGTGCATCTGGAACAGGTGTGGAAGATAGGTTCACGCTGGGTGGTGCACAACCTCACCGGTGTTCAGAAGCAGGCAACAGTGGAATGGTGCCATGATGTGATAGACAAATTTGAAGCAGGCTCGTCTCGGCGTGTTTACGACATCGTCACAGGTGATGAATCCTGGATTTATCAATACGATCCAGCAACAAAGCGCCAGACGGGTGTTTCAAAACGAATCAACGTCTAACAAAGTAAAGCGACCTACAAGCGGGGGGAAATTTTTGATCGCGAGCTTTAAATTTGACTGGCTACTTGGTGTCAATTCCTTTACGAAACCAAAGAAGTTGTAACGCCCGAATGGTATACTACCAAATGCTTGACAGAAGTTTTCTCTGTTGTGAGCAACAAGCGACCAAATACAAAATAGAAAAGTAAGTTTATTGTTAATTTTTATCGGAGAAACAATAATACAAATCTACAATACCTTTTCACTTGTAAATCCAGATTGAATACAGTTCTCACGAGAATCATTCATCAGTTTATTTTGCTCCTAAGACGAACTTAGTGATGCGAAGAAATGAATTCCTCAACTTAAAACATTTTCAGAAAGTTTTTAACCTGGGTATTGCATGTCAACTCAGTTACTTAACGGAATCATTGATGGTAAGCAAATTGATTTACTGTAACTAGATGTAAAATATAAAATATATAATAATATTGTTTTTACACGACGGAATCGATATAAGAAAATAAGTTTTAGCTGTAATAATAGTATAATAAATCACACGCTCAATAAAATATATGACATAGTGTTTTTTATTGCCTAAATATAAGTAATTAGCATAAGCAGAATTTGTATATAAGTATAGATAAGATCATTTTTTGTTAATAATAATTATCCGTGTAAATAAATCACACGCAACGTACAGAAACCTTGCAGTTAAAAAAAAAAAAAAAAAAAGGGGAAGGCCACCCGTCGGGCGTCTATATAAAGAGCGCGGCCGCGCAGCGGACCGCACCGACCCGACATACTGGACATGGCACTGCTGAGGAACGTAACCCTACGGGTGAGCTCCCCAGAAGTCCATGCCGAGCTTAACTCGGACCATCGACCGGTAACCCTCCTTTTGGGCCCTCCGCCCGACACGCCACTACCAACCAAAACAATAACAGACTGGCAACGACTCGAGAAATCTCTCGAATCGACCAACACACCGATACTCAACCGTATTCCCGACGTCATAGAATTCACCGAGGACACTCTCATTGCGATCGACTCGCTTACTAACCACCTGCAGTCGGCAGTCAAGGACTGCTCCAGGGAGGTACCGGCGACAGACGACCGTCGCTGGCAGCTCCCCGACGACGTAAGGAGGTTAATAAGCGATAAGAACGCAGCCACTAGAGCGTACGATCGCTACCCCTCCGAACCGAACCGGGTGCGCCTGCGAGCCTTACAGCGT